AATGTAAGAGAAAGAGCCAAGCTTCTCCTACTCTTAAGACTTTCTTATCTCCACAACCAAACTGTAAATTCCATTATTTAAATTTCAAATAGCAGTTTAGTTAAGGTTGTCTCAGGTGCTATTTGATCTCTATATTACATACTGCTGAGCTCTCTGGGTGATTATTTTTCAAGCCAATAGAAAGGCAGTATGGCCTACTGGAGAAGACTGGGTTTAGAATCAAGAAAGTCTGGACTTGGGTTCAAGTTCAACATCTAACACATACAACCCACAACCATGGACAAGTTCTTTGATCTCTTAGTGTCATTCTGTAAAATTCAACAAGAGCTTTATACTTTCGTAAACAACCAGTTTTACATCCATTAAATATGGTAAAAAAAATTTTCTCTAAGATTAAGATATTGCAAGTGCCTTTTCTGGCTTAAGTTTCTCAGTTTACAACTTGATTTTTACCATTACTAATAGCAATAAAACTATCTTGTTCCTGTTTCTCAAATAGTAAAGCTGTGAGTTAAGTCAATGTTAACTGATTTTGCCATCATCAGAATATAGTAAGCTCCTTCATGGCATTACCCTAAATACTGAAAAGAAACAAACTGTTTCTAAGTCTATATCAGATTGCATGCTATCTTGGGAGGGAGGTGGGGAAGGATGGGGAGAAAATTTAAAACTCAAAAGCTTATGGAAGTGATTGTTGAAAACTAAAAAATTAATTAATATTAATAAAGGAATTGTCTCTGCCTTTTATAAAGTGAGAATCTAAAACTAGAGAAAAATCTGTAAAAAACACAAACTCAGTCCATTCACAAAAATCCTACTTTAATGTTTTACCATGTCATAGAGGTAACAACCCTGGGTTCTAGAAGACAGACAGAATCACAAGCTTGAAGCAAGTTTTTAATGAAACTGATAGCCACAGAACGTCTAGATAGATTACCCATAACTTAAATAAATGGACAACGAATTCAAGTGTGGCATGCATGGTGTTTTCACATGTTGAAATCTCTGTTGAAAGAACAGAAATCTCAAATGAAATAGGCAAATTGATACATCTTCTAGACTCAAAATTTATTGGGTACTGTGCCAAGGCAAAAGCATAAAATTAAGTAGTCCTATCCATTTTTTAACTGAATCTCTGATTTCAATGGTCCAGGGACCTACCAGTAAGGAGCTTGTATTGACATGGGAAACTTCTTTGCAAATTTTAGCTTTAAAAAAGTTGCCTAAGCACTGTGAGTTTAAGTGACTTACCCACTGGCATAGAGACAGTAACACGTCAGAGTGTAAAACTGAAATCCAGTTCTCCCTAACTGAAGCTAGATCTCTACCCACTAAGTCACACTGCCTCTACCTCTACCCATAAAACTTGGAATTTCTTATCTTCTATTGGAATAATTTCCTTGGTTTCATCACTTTTTTAGATAAAAGTAAACATTTCTGAAATGTTAAATAAAATGCAAGTTAAATTTATCGCAAACAAACACAAAATCTTGTCTTTTCTTCAATTTCAACTGAAGGGGGAAAAAATTCAGGATAAGTGAAGGAACCTCATTTTGCAGCTTTCAACAAGAAATCTCTCCATCTCCTGGACCTTTTCAAGACACTGATACTAAGATAACCTTTGCCTTGTTATACTTTTGACACTTCAAAGTAAAAAAGGGCTTTTGTTCCTTTAGCTAACTTAAAAGTACCATACTCTATTTGCAGAAACCTTAACAGAATTGCAAGTAAATAGAGGTGAAGGGGGAGGGGGAAAGGGAGGATGCTAGAAAATAGAAATATTCTCCATTGCTGAGAGTTAATTCATTCATGTAGTAAAACTGCCTAGGGGCAAGAAAATGAGGCTAGGATTTATATACCTCTGGAACTCTCGCAGGTGAGTAAAATTTAATTGGCTTATCTCTGAATTATTATTTTTAATGTATACAGGACTTCACCAAACATTTCCAATTCATCCTATCTCTCTTAAAATTCACCCTCATCTTATCACTCCCCTATTCAAAATAAAAACACAGTGGCTCTATTACATTTTCAAATCTTTAGACTGAATTTTAGGTCTTCTACAAACTGACTTCAAATTGCCTTTTAAGAAATAAACTTTAAACTCTATTCTGAGACACCTGACAAAGTCCAACAAATTCAGGCAATGACCTAAAGTACAATGGGTGAAAAGTTAAGGAAAACAAAATAAAAGCCAGATTGCAACCAGTATTAACTGCATCATTAGACTTCGCTATGTTCTTAAAAGGATGGTTTTTAACTTTATGAAGTTAATATCAATGCTCAAACTATTTCAGACTTAACTCCTTCTCCTCCATAAGAGCCTTTAAAGCCTAACCATATCAAATCCATCCATAGCTCTAACTGGCATGTTTGCTTGCTTCTCTTACCAATTGATTATTTCTCCCTCTTGAATATCCAAATCTTGAAATTTTCAAGTCCCAGTATAAGTCTCACCTCATCCATGAAAAGTATTAGATCATTCGAGTCAACTTCCACAGTAAGTTTCTGATGAAAAGATTCTTTGAACCATTTAAGTATAAAAAGAGGCCAAACCTTGGCAAAAATTATAAACAAATCATAAAAAGCCATATCTGATCAGGTTCCTTCCCAGTCTTGCCCCACCTTCTTAACTGACTTAATTACTATTAAGTCAAACTACAAAACATACACCTTTGTTCTCCAGATTAGTGTCATAAATAATAATTTACAAGAAATATTTTCCAAAATTTAGATCATATACACACTTATCTGAATCAACAAAAATAATATGTCTCAGGGTAAGACAATAAAAACTTTTCCCAGAAAGGGTAAACTCAATGAGTTACACTGAAATCATGTACAAAAATTATTGTGGCTTGATTTTCATGTCAAGATTTTTTTCTTTAATATTGTAAGATTGTTTTCTTTGCGTAATATGAATTTTTCAAATTCAAGTACAGCAAAAGTTCCATTTTTTAGTGACTACATACTAGAGAATTCATAGCTTGAAAGGGTAGTTTCTAAAAACTTATAATTATTGTTTAAGATTAATTATACTAGTCTTTAAAATGCTAGTACAGGCTAGACAAAAGTTGTTCCAAAAGAATAACCCAAGCAAACACTGGTGGGTACTATGTGTAAGGAGTTGCAAATGTATCTTTAACTTTCCACTTTACAAGATACCTACTTTCCCCACTTTTTTGAATTCATAAATCAAAATAACAGACCAACATTAAACTATTAGCACTTTATGGTTGTGAAGTACTTATTTAATCCTCATCACAATACCATGAGATAGACGGGAATTTTTATCCCCATTTTACTGATGAAAAAACAGGTTGAGAGAGATTTCAGTGATATGCTGGAGGGGGTCACCCAACTAAAGGGGCATTCATTCTTTTGGAGTCCAAGTCCAGCACTAAAAGTACCAGACCATGCTGCCCTTAGGAAGTGACTAAATAAACAAATGTTCTGATTTCTGTAACCAGGGAGCATGTGGCCCAAAATGTCTTGCTAGGTGGAATACATTCATAATAAAATTCCCCAGTACGGAATTCTTTCTAAAGCCATACCTTGCACCCAGCAATCAATCTTCTAAGGACTATAAAATATGCTTTATAATTATAAACTGTGTTACACCCAAGTGTTACTATACTACACTAATAACTAAATATTAAAAGAACTGTCAAACAAGCTTAGATGGCTTTATCAAATTACTGTAATTTTTTGTTTATCTGTAACAGAAACTATTTACTAAATGAACTTGGGCATTAAACAGGAAAATAATGATCACTAAACATTAGTAATTCTTCCCCAGGCAGTTCTACTCTACTACTAATGCTACCAATCTTATTTAACCCACTCATTCTTTACTGCTTTGGCTACATCCTACTACCAATCTTATTTAAATCCTACTACAAATTAATATCCAATTAACAGATTGTTAACCTGTGGAAAGGAGCATATTAGGTCAGACATGAAAAGCAATCACAAGTTACCAAAAATGCTAAGTTTCGCCAAAAGCATTATCTCAAACCAGATAAAAGAGCAATGAAATCTATACTATTTATGGCACTTAATTGTTTTCTGTGACTGGAGATACAAATATTACCAAACAAGAAAACACACAAGGCCTCTCCAGCACATGGCAACAAGCCTAGTGCGCTTTAAGTCTCAGCTGAAATCAGGACACTGTTTTAAAACTTTAAGGAAAGATTTCATTAGTGGACTGCTGATATTTGGTACAAGTCGAAAATAATTAGTTCAATTTATTGTACAGCTCTGTGGCTTCCAAGTGCCGTTAGAAACAAAATTGCAAACCATCCCCCTCCCGCTTTTTTTCCCTCCTAAAAGTATCTGAATGAGCATTATGGAATAGAAGAATCACATTTAACTTATTTCCTAGTCACTCAACCACGAAACGTTAAAAAAAAAGTTATGTTTTTCCTACACTCCAGCAAAATATATGTAAATAAAGAAGAAAAAAAAGGTTAGAAGAATCTGGCCTGTTACCACGTTGTTACAAGACTGAATCAAGAAACTTCCTTCACCTGACTAAACAAAACCCAAATCTTTGTAGATTTAAAAAAGAGAGAGAAAGGAATAGAGAGAACTGAGACTCTCGCCTAGATTAGGAAGTTGTGCGGCGGCAGCAGCCTGGCTAGACCAGCCATGTTGGAAAACACTTGTCAATTATACTTCTGACAACTGTTCGTGAACATGGTTGAAGCTAACCTTGGGCGTGCTCGGACGGAGCCTCCCGGCACACCGCCTCGGGCAGCCTCTGCGGCCGGTGGGTTTCCGAGTTAGGTCGGACTTTGGGTCTCTCTCGCTCCCTCTCTGGGACTGCGTGGGGGGAACCAAGAGAAAAAAACGGGGCGGGGAAAGGCAAGGGAGGAAAAAAATGGTTTGAGAGTTGGCCGCCGATCGGCGGCAGCGGCGGCCGGAGGGGCGGGGTACTGCAATCGCGGGCCCAAGAAGTCCCCGGCCCCCGGGGAGGGCTGCGGGGTGGCACTGACCTGTCCTCCGAGTCCATGCGGCTCAGGGGCTCCCCATCCGAGGACACCTCCAGGCTGCCTCTCCTGCCCACCGAGGTAGCGCTGCTTCCGCCTCCCCCGGTCCCGTAGCCCTCGTCCCCGGCGCTGGAGACAACGCTGCTGCTGCTGCTGCCGCCACCGCCTCCGCCGCTACCTCCTCCGCCGCCGCTGCAGCTGCTCTGGCCGCCCCGCGGTCCCTTGGGCTCTTCCAGGCCCTCCTTGCCGTCTCCATCGCCGCTGCTGCTGCTGGCCGCGCCAGGGCTGAGGGAGCGGGTCTCGTCGCTGCTGCTGCCGCTGCCCACCAGGCTCTCGGCGCTGCTCTCCTCCTCGCCGCCCCCGCTGCTGCTGCTGCTCTCGTCCTCCTCCTCCTCTTCCTCTTCGTCCTCGTCTTCCCCGGCCTGGCTGGCGCTCTCTGGGCTCGGCTCAGACATCGTCTCCGCCTCGCCCCCGTCGCCGCCGCCGCCGCCCCCACCCCCGCCGTCGCCGTTCAGCAGCAGCTCTGCCACCGCCTGTGCTTCTGTCTCCTCTTCCTCCTCCTCCTCATCTTCCTCTTCTTCCTCCTCCTCCCCACAGGGCTCGGCCCGGCCCCGCGTCGCGGGATCGGGACTGCCGGGGGGGCAGAGGACTCAGGCGGGAGAGCTCCTCCAGGTCGGCCATGTCGGTGATAGCGGCGGCCATGGCGCCTCCTCCCTCCCTCTTACTCTCCCTTCCAATCGCCCGAGCCTGGGCTGACGCTGACACCGCCCCCGACGCCGCGGCCGCAGAGCAGGAGGAGGGACCGCGGGCGGCGTCACCGGCGCGCGCGCACACACACGCGTTCGAATAGTTGCAGGGTGATGGAGCGCTTGCGCGACAGGCGTGGCGGGAGGGAGGGGTTGGTAAGAGGGAGACGGCTTTTATTTTGCACTCCAACCCAGTATCCCATCGTCTGTGCTTCAGCCCATTTCCCTCCCAATCCCTTGCGCTCCTCAAGAGTATCATTTTCTCAAACTCAGCCCCGCTACCCAGGCCACAGACTTGAAATAGAGATTGGAGGGAATTGGTCTCCCAAGCACTCCGGGCACCGGTGAGCAAAGGCAGGCAAATAAATAAACTCCACGGTGGGGAGGTGGGCGAATGGAACTTGGAGTAACAAGTTTACTCATGTAAAAGAACATCAGGCCTGGAATGCCGGGCTAAGAAATTTGAATTTATTTTGTAGCAGTATGGAGCTTTGAAGTGGCTACAGCAGGCGGGGTTGATGCTTAGAGCCGCTATGCCTTAGAAAAAATTATTCCTGCGTGGGGTACAGTAGGGTAGGTTGGAATGGGGAGATGAGGAGTGGGGAAAGGGAAGGGTATTAGTCACAAAATGCAACATTTCGACTGTAACGTACTAAGTACCTAAAGCAAAAAGATATGAAAAAAATTCGGAGTAGACTGGAATAGACTAACAGAAAAGAAAATGTTCATTTGCGGGAACTGAAGCTCAAGAGATTGAGTACCTTACTCTAGGTCCAAGTCTCTCTTGTTATAGCATGAATGGAACGGGTCTTGGGGAATGCCTGGAAGCAGGAGGTGAAGGAGGAGTCAAGTGATTGCAAAATTTGGCAATGATAAGAAATACTACTAAGGGAAACAGAAAAATCACGTTTGGTTGGCAGGTTGCCAGCCGTTAGGGATAAACTATTGAAAACAAAAACAATTCCTACCCCCAAGGAACTTAGTCTTAAACTAGGAAACAAATGCATAGAATGGCACTGAGCAGTCAAGTTGAACGTTTCAGAAAAGGTGGGTTTTTGTTGCTCCTTAAATAAAAGGAGAGGCTGAGGCTGAAGTGAGGAGGGAGTGCAGTCCAGGCATGAGATTGCCTGTGCACCAGGGAAATGGACCGAGAGACCGCTTGGGAAGGATCTCATTCTCATAGGGAGCATAAAAGTAACTTCCAATGAGGTTGAGAAAGGTGATTCGGAGTGTTAAAAGCTAAAAAGTTTTTCTACTCAAGGCAATATGAATGTGGATTGAGTAGGGAAAAGAGGCCAAAAATGCCTAAAGAAAATCACTTTGCAATGTAAAGTGGGGAGAAATTTGAGACTCAAACAAAGAGGCAGTTACAATAATCTAAATTAAGCAAGATTTAAAGGAAGGATAATAACAGCGAGAGAATAGCCTTAAGCAAAACAAACATCCTGATCCAGAATGGAGAGATTAGACTTGAGTAGATAAAACATTTATTAAACTATGTGCCACGCACAGTGCTTAATTCAAGACAAAAGGAAAGCACTAGAATCTAAGAGGGTGCCCAACAATTGAATAATGACTGAACAAACGAATATAATGGATTATTTTATTGTTAAAAAATGACAAAAGCAAGAGATTTCATACAATGCTTGGGTATGCTCCGTAGTAGAACAGAAATCAGAACTAGAACATTTTATACAAGGACAAAAGCATTGTAAAGAAAAACGCTTTTGAAAAACTTCTAAGTACCCAGATAAATGCAATGTATCCAGGAGACAATCCATGTATCCAAAAGTCAGATGATAAAGCATGTTACTGACAGAAAAGATGACAGATTCAGGGTGCAGAAAGGGACAGTACATAGCCACAGTGTAGATTCAGTTTGTTTCACTAGGCTTACTTGTTACAAGTGTCTTTTTTCCTTTGTCTTTTTTTAACAGGAGGGTAGGGGAGAGTCATAGAAAGGTATTAGGCAAGTGATGCAAAAAAAAAGTCATTAAAACATTTTTTAACGTACTGAAAGGAATAGAAGATCAGAAAAATTTTGAAAGTAACATAGAATTATATACTTATTTTAAGAGGTAAGAAATGGAGATGCAGTTTCACATCTGCTGTGTGTGTGTGTATGGAAACCCCCTTTTTTGGTGTTTAAATTCATTATAATTTTTTAATGACCGATTCCAAGAATAATCTCTATAGAAAGAAGGTACTAGATATATTTTTCAGGGAACTTGAAGTTCCTGTTTAAATAAATAAGTGAAATAAAAGTCACCACTAAATATCCATTCATACAGAGAGAGAGAGATCACTGCAAGAAAGTCATATTAATAGTAATAGGATAGTAATTCTGTTAACTAAAAATTAATAGTGATAAATATTAATATTTTTAAATTTCATAAAAATTAATAGTAATAAACAAGGTGACTTTAATTCAATTATCATCTCCTCTAGTTAGAAAAGTATAATTTTTGAGCCATGTATTATATCTATTATACCATACCCTCCCCACTCCCCCACTTTTTGATCACTGACTCTCCTTGCTGTTCCCTTGACATTCCTATCTCTGAACTCTGGGCATTTTTACTAAATGTCCACCCATGCTTGGAATTCTGTCCCTCCTCATCTCTGCCTCCTGGTTTCTTTCAAGTCCCAGGTAAAATCCCACCTTTTTCAGCAAGCTTTTCCTGATTCCCCTTAATTCTAAGGCATTCCCTCTGGTTGATCATTTCCAGTTTATCCCACATACAAAGTATTTGTGTGTAATTTTTTCTATTTTGTTTTCCTCATTAGGTTGTGAGATTCTTGAGAATAGGGACTGACTTACTAATCTTTTACCTTTTTTTGTATCCCAAGTATTTAGTACTTAGTAGGCCCTTAAGAAATGCTTATCAACAGACTAGTTTTGGGTAACCTAACTTTTTATAGCAATCAATTTAAGCTCAGAAGTTATGGGTTAGAGATGAGTCAGATATTTACTTGTTTTGCAATATTGAGCAAGTCACTTAACTTCTCTAGGCCCTCTAAGATTCTGTTTTCTCTTTCTACCACTTCAGCCCTCTTCTCCCATTGATGAATTTCTCCCAGAACCTTCAGTTTTATTTTGAGAAATAGCCAAGACCAGCCATGCTTCCTACTTCAGAGTTCTCTACTATGCCCAGGTATCACTCCCGCACACTATGGATTTCTTCCCCTGTTAGAATGTAAGCTCCAAGGGGACAGGGATTTGTCTTTTTGGATATCTGTAATTGTATCCCCAGAGCTTAGCACTGTGCCTAGCACATGATAAATAATTAATATATGTTTTGTATCAAAGGCTGGACTATCTGACATAATTAGCTCTTTTTATTTAAAAAAAAACTAATTTAGATTTAAAAAACAATCATCTAAAGTGATATGGGCCTGAACTTAATAGTAGCAGTAGGAGTAGAAAAAAAGGGATCAGATTCTTAAGAAAGATATAGTAGAGGTAGAAATGGTAAGATTTGGGAACCAATTAGAAAAGTAGGATGAAGGGAGAGGGAGAAAATCAAGCATAATGCTAAAGTTACAAAACTACTGAAAGGACTCCTTTATCAGAGTACATTGTTATTCCACCTCTCCTCCCACTTAGCAGTTCTTAATCAGCTCAGTGTCCTTCAATCTGTTCTACAGTTCTTTCTCAAGCCATTACCCCTGAATAGTTTACATGCTTCTTCCTTCCCTATCTAGGCCCCTGGGTGGACCAGTTCAAATGTACATTATTTTCCCTTGTTCTATCACAGATTTTGCACTTTGAAGACACAGCCTTGGGTACTTCCACCATTAACTTGCCTTGCTTACACCAGCTGCTAGAAAAATTGGGCAAAGTAACGAAAACCAGTTGACCACTACAAATTTAATCTCAACTGGGCCTTCTTTGAACCAAGACAATCCTTTTACATCTCTTTAATTGATTGACTATTCCACTTATTACACTAGGTCTTCTAAACTTCTAATCCTTCCTCAAACCTAGTGGTTGCCTCTCCCTCTCCCTTCTTATCTGAGAACCTCACCTATTGAACATTCTGCTTCTTCCTTCCTTTTCATGGGTCATCATTCCAAAGCCTTCTGCCACGATCTCCTCCTTCATCTGTCTCACATGAAGAGGTGGCCCTTCTTCCTTGCCAAGGCCAACTCCTCTACATGCAGTGATCCCCTTCTGACTTCTGCGAATTGCTCCTATCATCCCCACTCTTACTAGTAAATCTTTAACTTCTTTCCCCCTTCCAGTGACTGCTTACAAATATGTGTAAATGTCTCCATCCTTAAAAAATCCTCACTTTAACAGTCTCTCCCTTCTGGCTAAAGTTACCAATGATCCCCTGCAGCCTTTGACTTCCTTGATTACAACCCTCTTTTTAATACTCTCTTCTCTCTAGGTTTTTGTAACATTGATCTCTCCTAGTTATCCTCCTGTCTGACCACTTCTCAGTCTCCTTTGCCAAATCTTCATCCAGGTCTTGATCACTAATAGGAGGTTCCCCCAAGGATCCTCTTCTTCCTATATACTTCTATCCCCTAGGTGATTTCATCTGCTCCCATATACTTATTTATTTATGTGTATGTGTGTATATTATATTACATATATATATATATGTATTTACATACACACACATATAAGATTCTCAGATCCAGGCTTAACCTTTTCCCTGACCTCTAGTCTCAGGTCTCCAACTGCCTACTGGGCATGTCTTGTAGACATTTTAAAAATCAACATGTCCAAAATTGTACTCATTATCTACTTTCCCTCCCACTCCTCTCCTCTACTTCTCTATTAATTTTGAGGGTACCATCATATTCTCAGTCACTCAGACTCACAACTTTGCATCATTGTCATCCTCTCCTCAGTTGCCAAGTCCTATCAATTTTACTTTCTTAACATCTCTTCTGTATGAATTCCCTTTGTCACCCCCCCCCAGCACAGGACCCCATCATCTCCCTCCTGAACTATGGCAACAGCCTGCCAATTGGTCTCCCTGTCCCAAATCTTTCCC